GAAAGATGCAGCTTTGATGGCGAGTGAACCTGCAGATCTGCAGGACTGTCTGCTGAAAACACAGCCCCAAAGGAGCCCTGTGGCTGCCCTTGGTCTCAGGTGGCACACACAGCTGGGCACCTCCAGCAGCCCCAGTTCCAGCTCCTCACTCTGCCATCCCAGAGCATTTGCATAAGGAGCAACCCGTGAGTAACAGCTGCCTCTGCAGACAGCAAATCCTGCAAGTATTTTGTGGTAAACCTGCTGCTGCTGTGGGCAGGGAGGATGCACTTTACTCTGAAAGCAGGGGATGAAAAGCCTCTGTGGCAACGGCTGCGCTTTGAGAGCGGCTGAGCTGAGCCCAATCCCCTGCACAGGCAACTGTTTATTATCAGAATAACTGATCTCCCAGAGCACTTAATGCCCTGCCTGCACGGAAGGAGCTGCAGCCTCACGGCCTTTCGCTGAGTATCTCGGTCTTACTCCAGCAGCATTGCTGTTAATTGCAATACAAGGGCATTTCAGTGATTTGCCTGTTTCAGTTGCTTGTTCAGGGTGGCACACAGTGAAAACAACAACCTGAGATGGCTGTACTTGCCCAATTGCCAAGCTACAGGTGTGCCGTGGTAGATCTGTGCCTGTCAGCAGAGAACTGAGTCCAGGAATTAGGTAGATTTGCACCTTGCCTATCAGTTTGTAGATAAGAGCGTTACCTCAGAGCCAGGCAGTGGATGTTGCTGATAGACTGAGCCTGGGTGCTGGGTTACTCCTGACTTTGACCTTGGCCATTTATATCACTGGAGGAAAAATTTTGCGTGCTTCTGTTTGCTCACGTGGAGATAAGGACACTGGTCTCCGGATTAAAAGTGTCATTAAGGGAGGCACATTATGATTGTAATTATTATTTTACAAGCTGAACAGCGTGCAGGAGCTGGCAGTGCTGCTGCTGAGCTTCCTCAAGGAGCGTGTGCCTTTGCAAAAGGGTAGAGGAAGCCGTACGGGAGGATTTTCTCATACATAAGCTGAGGAAACGGATTATCTGTGAAACAGCCAACAGTTTTTATTTACTGTGAAAATCTGAGTCTCACTCTCAATTTCCCATCAAGATAAAATGCAGGCATTTGGTTAAAATGGCAACTTAATGCTCCAGAGGTTTAATTACCACCACTCTATAATCAAAATCAACACAGAGTGCAGGCTGTAGCTCCCAACTCCGACAAGAAATGCAGCTCCCCACAAAGCAGTCAATAAAAAGAAGATATATAGCATGTGCTTGGATTTTGTGGTCCTTCCCACAGCTGAACTTGCAAATCTGCTATTGCTAATGGTTTTCTTTCAAACCTCAGGTTCTCCCTTAGCTTTTATCGAACTCCAGAGCTCCTTATTTCCACATTTTAACTTTCTCTGTATAATACCTATATACACAGTACTGAATTAAGGGAGTTCCTGTGCTGGGAGCGAAACCTCTGATTTTTTTCCCCGTATCAACAGAAAGCACTGAACCAGTCTCAATAGTGGTGATTACTGAAATTTTGTGAGGGCCTTGGTTGGAAGAAGTGTCAAGAAGGCAGGAATGTTTGCTGGGCTGTGGCTGGTGTGACCTCTGGCATGGACCTCTACAGATCAAATGATTGATCCTCCTCCACTGCAGTTCCTGGGGCTTTTCTTTAAAGACTTCAGCACTTGTTAGGTCATAGGACCAGCTTGGGTCTTGCTTGGTACAGTCTTCCCTCTGCAAGTTCAGATTTCTTTTTTCCAGTGCATCTTCTGAATGAGGTGGTTGTGCTCTCCCAACTGTTGATCCCTGTGAAAATTGCACATGCTCTATATTTTACCCATTCCTTTGCAAGTTGGGTTTTTAGGGAGCAAAGCCTTTACCTGCCTGGCAGCTATAGCCAAACAAAGCACAGGCACTGTCAGCAGTGCAGTCCTCTGCCTTCTGCCAGGGGTTGAGCCCCGGCTTTACATCCTGGGATGCTCCCAGATGCTGCAGTAGCAACCACAGAAGTTGCTCTCAAAAAAAAACCCCAAACCAGCTTTGTTATGGTTTCTGCTCTTTCTAAGAAAGGGTTAATTTTCCTCCTCCTCATCATCAGCCCCCCATAAAAAGCAGAACATTTTGTATCCTGCCCCTACTGACTTGTGGAAATAAGAGATACCCTATTAGCAACCCTTGTCCAAACACAGTGCTGGCCTGGTTAGTGCCAGCACTTTCCATCCAGCACTAGTATTTGTTTTTCCATGCTCTTAATCTTAGAAATTGAATCGAGTCTGATAAAAGTGACTTCCTGAATATTGCATAACAGTTTACGTCTGTCAGGAGGGAAGACAAACAGACCTGACCTTGAACTTGGAAAGTTTCCTCCCAGCAGGTAAGAGCTTCCAAAAGTCTGTGCTGGGGCTCCTGGTCTCCTTGCTGTCCAGGGACAGCAGTGAGGCTTCCCTGGCAGCCATCCTCTCTGCAAAAAAAAAAAAAAAAGCTTTGGAAAATGCTTTGGATCCTCCCCTGGGGACCTGAGAATCCCCCGGAAAGAGCTGCAGCAGGAAGGCAGCTTCGTGTTCTTGCTCCGAAAAGAAGGCAGAGGAGAAATCCTGTCCATATCTGGCAGGGTTTAGCCTCCAGGGATTAATTAAAGGCTTTTTCAGTTTTTCTTTCAAACCTCACAACATTCATCCCCGCCTCACTGAATAGGGAAAAGGGAGAGGCATTTTCTCTGGTGAAGCACCAGCCTGTTTCAATTTTCAGTTTTACATTGCAGTAATATGCTTTTCCTAAGGGAACACCACAGGAAGGGCAAACTTTGGCTTCTCACCATTGGAGCATTACATCATTAATATGAGCTGGAAATCTGAGCAGCGGGCAAAACAAATTCCCTGAACTTAATTCCCTCTTTCCTCGGTGCTTCTGTCCCTCTTCCTTGCCCAGGGGTAAAGCAGGTGGAGGTGTTGGCAGAGCCAGGGAGGGTGGGGACCAGTGGACCAGGAGTGGGTGGTGATGCTACAGGAGCAGGGAGGTGTCCTGCATCCTCTGAGCTGCTGGTAGTGCTGGGACTGGACACCAACAGAGCTCTGGGGCAGCAAAACCCTTTCTTCTGTGGCTCAGGCTTGTGGTGGTGGCTGCCACGGGGGGAAGGAGCCACCTGGCTCTGGGGGCTCCCTGGGAAACATGTGGGGTCTTTTGCACAGGTTTCCCAGTACCAGAAAAGTGCAGGGCTGAGGAGACTCTGGTTTTTGGGCAGCATCCTGAAGAAGCACCACAGCTCCCAGCTCAGTGTGTGTGTGTGTGTGTGTGTGTGTGTGTGGTGCCCTGCAGACCCCCGGCTGTGCCCTGCCTGCAGTGTTTGTTTTCTGACCCCATTACTTATTCCAGTTTGGATTTCAGCTGCTTAGGCTTGATTATTTTAAACCCCCTCTATCTGATTATCATCAGCCCAGCCAGGCCAGATATGAAGCTTCCTGGGGGATCCCCAGCAGTGTTTCAGGAGGATAAACTGCCTCTCATTCATGCTTTTGGGAGTTTGGGCAGCCAAGAGAGGAGGGAGTTACAGGGATATTCCAAAGGGGGAGGGGGAGGCAGCTCCCCCTGTATTTCCTGTGCTACAGCCTCGCAAATATCAGACTTTGCCGTGGGATGGAGTTCCTTGCTGCCCTGGCAGTGTGGGGAAATGTGTCCTGGCAAGCACCCCGGGAGGTGTCAGTGATGGGCACACACACACTGGCACGGAAGGATGCTTCTGGAAGCAGAGCAGCTCAGGGACACGCTGGCACGGCCGGGTGCAGCAGATTGGTACCCAAACCAGGCAGCCCTGTGCAGCCTCCCCAGAGCTGCCTTGCTCTTGCTTTTCGGTTTTCTATTGTTATCCTAAAGCTGTCTTCCTCCTCCTCCCCCCAGCCCCCAGCAGGATGAGGAAGCCTCCAGCTGGCCTAGGAGGCTTATCAGCTCTGTCTGGCTGGGTGTTAACAGTTTATTTGCATAAGTACCTGTCCCCGTCATATGCCGCTTGCCTTTGTGACTCACTGGAGTTGTTTATTTTTCCTCCAGCAGCCAGGCTTGCGGCTGCTGCTCCCCGAGGGATGCCAGGGCAGATGCCACCACCCCCGGGCACTGCGGGATGCCTGGCACGCTCGGGACAGGACGCTCGCCCTCCCCGGCTCACCCAATCCTCCTGCCCTGCGGGACCGGCTTGGAAATTAAATGTGTAACTGGTCGGGTCCTGTTTTCTCCTGGCTGCCAAGATAAAACGAAACTGAACCCCCCCCCAGCTGTCCCTGGCTGGGGAGAGCAAGGCTTCCCCTGGGACCACAGTCCCAGCTCCTGTTGCAGGGAAGGTGCCTCTGGCTGCAGGGCTGTGTGATGTGATGGGTATCTGTCTCCTCACTGCTGTTAGCACTCATAGACTCACAGAATGTCCTGAGTTGGAAGGGACCCACACGGATCACTGACTCTGACTCCTGGCCCTGCACAGGACAACCCCAGAAATCCCAGAGGGTGTTGTCCAAACGTTTCTTCAGCTCTCTTCAGGCTTGGTGCCATGACTGCTTCCCTGGAGAGCCTCCTCCAGTGCCCCGGGTGAAGAACCTTTCCCTGCTATCTTCATTTTAAGGAGCTGAGATCCTTAAAGCCTCTTCTGAACTCAGGTCTCTGCTCCAAAGGCAGCGTGACCTGCCAGACCAACCCTCCTGGCTGTGCTGGGGCACCCAGGGTGCAGCTCTGCCCCAAGTGCTGGTGGTGACCGCAGAGTCACCTCCTCGGGTCGGAGCCGAGCGATCTTGTTTCTGCTCATTTGCTCCGAAGGGTTTTTCCATCCGTAGTAAGAAAGTCATTAATGTTAAACTTCCGCTGCCAGGTACGATTGATTCGAAGATTATAACCACTCTAAAGGGGGGACGTGCTGCATGTACGATGTGTTGAAGTCCTGGCACGCAGGAATTGTTGCTCCAATGGTCGCCTGTGATCCGTGGAGCTCAACAGAGAGCGGCTCAGGGAAACATGGGGCTGCTCAGCAGCCTGGCAGGGCCAGTGAAGAGTGGCCAAAGGGCAAAGGTAAATTCAAATCAGCAGCTGGTACATCCTCTGCACAAGGGCTGTAATCCTGTCTCAGGAGATGACAGTTATGGTTTAACAAGTCTCCATGCTGTTGTTACTGTGATATTCTCCTAATATGGTGCACATCCATGAGGTCCTTGGTGCTCGCAGGAGAGCAATGCTCACTGTGGGATCCTCCCTTCAAGGAGCTACCAGAACTGAAGTATTTTCTTCTGGATGTGGCCCAGAAACCTGGGAGTTGTTGTGTGGTGTGTTCTGCTGGTGTGTTCTGCTTCCCCTCCGTGGCTGATGGGCCAGTGAATCAGTTGTGCACCCAGCCAGACACTTCTGCTATGTAAAAGTTATTTTAGACACGTTTCTGGTGTCCATCATATCATTCATCATATAAAGTGCTTTTGACAATGCACCAGTTGAGCTGTGCCAGTTGTGTTTCGCTCCTCTGACTGGGAGGATGGATGGATGGATGGATGGATGGATGGGGGAAGCTTGGTGAGAAGAGCAAGGGATTCTGCTCAGCTCAGCACATTCAGCCTCGGCTCTGACTGTGTGATGTTACAGGGCAGGTCAAAGTGTGAGAGAAGTGAGTGTGGAAAGGCAGATAACCAGCAATTTGCTGTGAGTATGGCCATTGAAGAGGATCAGTGGACTTGGTTTGTCCAAAGAAAAATGCAGAGAGAGAAAACAGAGGGAGAAGGAAGCAAACAGTGCATCACGTGAACCATCCAAGAAGTGGCTAAAGGAGCAGAACCAGAGAAGGATAAATTCATGAAGCCAGGAGAGGGCTGCAGGAATCTCATTATAAATATCATATTGAGTTGTGTATCTCAAGAAATCCCTGACTTTTCATCTTTATCTCTTTTTCTCAAGTGCATTAACAGCTGACTTGTCCTTCTGGCTGCTCTCAGGTCTTTCTGAGCCATCACTGCCCATCCCATGTGCCTCCCTCTCTTCTGGCTGCACCCAAGCTGAGTTTGCTGCAAGGAAACACTGCTCAGGCGATGGAGTATCCATGTCAGCCCCCCTACGGTTAAAACCAACCTTGTAAGCAAACCCTCATAATTTTATTTATGACTTTTGGATGAGATAATGGTTTTCCACTTTGAAAAGAAAGCTCGCTACTTCAACATTTATTTTCTATAAATGCCTTGGCATTTATATTGCAACAGGAGACTATTCAGTGACATTATCTGATAAATATCGTGTTATACAGCTGCAATTTACAATGCATATATTTTTAACGGTGCTTCTAAGCTAAATTAAATGCTTCTAAAATATGGTACTTATGGAAAACAAATGTCTTTTCTAGCAATTTTGTTTTTCAGGGTACACTATTTTTTTAAAACCAGATACCATCTTTATCCTGTCAGGCAGTAAATTATGCACTTGCACTTTCATAAACTCTCCCCTTGGGAACTTAGTCAATGAAATGGAAATGTCTTTTTCACACCCTCCAACTCCAGAGAAATACAGGGAAATAGCCAACCCGGTTATAAACTGAATCCATACAAAATGTGGATTAATGCAGTCCTGATGCATGTATTGTTTAGGATATGTACCATTCACTCAAATGGTGCTTTGAGCTGTGACTGGGATCATTCATGTCTTTTTTTTTTTATTTGGGAGAGTAATTGCATGTTCTGTGGTGGGATGTGCAGTAGGAAGTCACCCACTGGCATGGGACTGTAACCTCCCTCCCAAGCCAGGACTCCTGTGGGAGGAGGAAAGCTCTGTTGGCCTGCTCAGGGGAGTAAAACACAATGGCTTTTACACCTTGGTGGATCTTCCCTGGGTTGTGGAGTGGGAATGGGCAGGACAAGGGTTTAGAATGGCCTGTTCTGCCTTTGGGATAGTCTTTCACGAGGGAGAGCAGAGGTACTGAGGCAGCTGGACTAGATGCTCCTTGTAGATCCCTTCCAACTGAGCTGTTATTCTAAACCTACTTCTGTTTCCATCGTCCATCACCCACTGAGTTTGCCTGTAGCAGTCAAACATCTTCATACAAAACCCCACGTGGTCTGAGGAGCTGTGCTATTCCCTCACTGCACTGAAGGTGGAAAGTGTGAAATGCCAACAAAAAGGAGGCAAAGGAATGAAAGCAGGGAAGGGTGGGAGGGTGTTGCAGGGGAGTCTGCTGTGATGGCCAAGGATCCCTCCAAAGCAGGAGGAGCTACAGCAGCTCTCCTGTCGCAGGAGGGGCACTGGAGCTGTTCACCTCTCTACTGATGGCCCTTATTTCCCCAAATATAACTCACAGGCCCTTTGAAAGCCCCAGTTCTTCCAGTCTGGCGACTGCATGAAATGTGGGATGTATTATGTGCACTTGGCAATAGAGGCAAACTTAGAGAAAACGGGAAAAGCAACAAAAACAACGACAAAAAAAAGGAATCTTGAAATTTGGCAGAAAAAATGCAGCACACAAACCCCACAGGAATGTGAGCATCTTTGCACAAAGCCACTTATGGATGCATTCCTTAAAGGTAATCCCTTCAGACAGAGCGAAGCTGCCATTTCTTTGAAAGATATTAAAGCAGCTGTTGCTAGAACATAGAGAATTTCTGAGCTCTCTGTCAAGGGATGGACATTTGTAATGCTATAGCTACTTTATTTACAGTTTGATACCAAATTTCCAGCTACTGAAGGTAATTGAGACTGCAAACAAAATCTCACTATCCACTGATCTGCCAAATCAAATTTTTCCTCCTGTAAGTATAGTGTTTTTCCTTAGCTTCAGAGAGGAAAAGAATTATGCAAAATGAATGAGAAAGAAAAGGGATTAGTTTATATAATGACCATAGCAGCCATCTCTCCCTTGATCTGTCATAGTTTATTCTCGAAGATGGGAACGATTATTATTGTAATTTAGAACAGAGCTTGTTCTCTTTCCTTCTGCTGCATCTGCTTACTACTCTCCAAATTAACACATATTTTAATAAAAACTAAACCTCCCGATTATAGCTGGGGTGTTGGATGACCCCAGCTGGGATATGGGCACAGCAAGATTTTCATCATCTCTTGTGTTCCCCTCCTGGAATGTCTGTGCACTGCTCTGGTCTCTGATAGGAATTGAAGCAGCCATGAGGCTATTCTAATAACTTCTGGCTACCAGAGGCCTCAGAAGAGGGTATCCAAGGCAGTAAATCAGCAGCTACGTGTCTCCTGTGCTGTTCTCAAGTTGTGTGGTGCTTCTGAGGATCTCTAGGAGCTCTCTGTCACCAGAGCAGCTCCCTGCTCCGTGGTGGTCCCCCACCATCAGAGACGGGTGGGTGTCACAGCAGGAGCAGGCTGAGGGAGCTGAGCCTCCCTCATGGTCTCTTCACTAGCTAATGTCACAAAATAGATTGTTTCTAAAGGTCTTCAAAATTACACTGGATTTTTTTGCTGTATTTGGGGACTACTCGCACTCCCATGGTCCTGTCCCACCCGTGTGTCTGGTGCCCATGTATCACAGTAATCAACTTTGGTGCCAACAAGGCAACTGGGTTTTCTTTTCCTCCTTCTCTCCCCTGGCTGCACCGAGATCTTCACTGGTCTCAACTCTGACTGAGAAATTTTATTAAACCAAAGCGTTGAGAGGCGAACTAATTGATACACTTGTTCTCCTGAAGTTGCTTGAACACTTTTGTAGTTGTAACTCTAGGATTGAGCAGTCACCCCTAAAATCAAGGTGTTCACACCCCAGCACAGCGTGTGGGGAAGCAGCCACGAGGCAACAGCTCTGCAGCATTTTGGGGACTCGTGGTTAGTGACGGGATTTAACTCTGCAGAACTCATACAAAACTTATAAAGATTCCGTCCTTCGCTTCAAAACATCTGTTAATTCCTACTTGTGTGCTCGTCATCGAAAGGCTGCCTATATTTTTCCTTTCAGGTTTGCAAAAAATAAGCACCGGTGAATGAAGATGAAAGGGAAATGTTGCTGGTTTCTTCCCTGGAGATCGTATTTCTTACTTGTTGCATAACTGCTTATTTTAGCATCAATCAGCCGAGCCTTTGTTGTGCAGACAATTCTGTCCTTTTAGAGGATTTGTGCAGTATTGTTTCTTCCAAAATGCTTTTTTTTGTTGTTTTTGTTATTAGATTTATTTCTTCTCTTAGCAAATGCCAACTGACAACACCCCGTCAGAGCTCTTCATAAGTGTTACATAAATGTCATACTATGTAAACTGAGTGTTGGATGTATCATATACACGACCTTTCTTGGAGAACCATCCATCAGGTGCTATCTGAGTGTGTGTGTCACATTTATGTATTTGTACACAAGCCGTGTTTAAGCGTGCACGTGTGGTAGCCAAAATTCTATGATGGAAAGTACTCAAAATGCAGAAATGTCTGAACTCTTCTTGTCAGTGCAACTTCATCTACCCCCTTTCGTCGAAGCAGAACAAGACTTTAATTTCATGTTCAGATACTCTCTTCCTTCTGCATCGCTGTGTGTGCAGTGAGATGGTCAGCAAGGGGCTCAGTGATGCCTATTGTTCAGCACATGAGCCTGGGCAGAGTACATTATTCAGCACATTATTCACATGTCTGACCACTTCTGGATTTCACAGCGATAGAAAACACGGCTCAAATACTTCTCGGTGCAGTTTTCGAAGCAGAGCAAGGTGCTGGTGTCCCGGATGGCAAAAATGCATTGTGGTTGCATCGGGGCTTGCTGTGGACCTGCCCTGCCATGCTGTGACCTTCCTTAGAGATGTTGTCCAGAAATTATGGAGAAATGGCCTCAAAGGGTGGGAAGGCTGCAGTGTGCAGTACAGGACCAGAGCAGGGGGACCTGCAGGTTCCTCAAAAGACACAGTTATTAATGTCCTCATGGTTCTTTCTGTAGCACTTTCCACTACACTGCCTCAGTGCTTCAGCACCTTCATTAATCCTCCCCAAGCGCCCGTTTCGAAGATGGGTCAGGGTGACACATGGATGGATTAAGGTCAGTTTTGACTAATTCAGGGTACTCCATCTGAAAAGCATAATGTCTGCTTTTTTCAGAGCGTTTAACATGATGCAGCACTTCATACATGCAAGCACAGCACCCACTGCTTCCAGCTGCAGGAAGATGGATGTCAGCAATTCAGGCTAAAGGTTTCCAGCCACACCAGCAGTGTGGGCACTACAGCCACCAGCAGCCAAAAGTTTGGGTTAATGACTTAGTTAGCGTCATACAGCCCGTGGCAAGGGCACGGAGGGAATCTGCTTCTTTGGGAGAGTTTTTGTCCTATTGTCACAGTCTCTCTGAGTCTCACAGCCCTTGCATTGCTCCTTGGGCAGTTTATGGTTCTGCAGATAAGATGAGAATCTGGCCAAAGTGTTTTCTTTTTGACTCACACAGCAGGTCCAGGGTGTGCAGGTGTTGTAAGGAAATCAGATTGGGGCAGTGTAATTAAGAACTGCATTACAGTATGTGTGCACAATAAAATTGGTATGGAATGCTTCACTTTGGACACTTCTGATGTTCTCACCAGGTAACACAGTGACCTTCACAATATCCCTTAAGGCAGCCTGTGCACATGGATGAGGTGGGATCCACAGGTGAAGTCCTGGCAGTGAATGTTGTTGGATGCTGGAGCAACAGTGTCAGCACCCACCGAGGTCCCTGGGGCTGCCAGGGACTGACAGACAGGGGCTGTGCTTGTGTATCCCACTACTTTTGTAATTCCAGCAAAGGCTTTTTAACCAGGGGCTGATGTTTCCTGTTCCCTGGGGGGCCTGTTGAGAGGGTTCTGAGCACCTGGGGCAGCAGGTGCCCAAAAGCAGCATCTTCAGAGATTTCAGCAGCATTGGGCTTTTTTTTTTTCCCCTGTGTTGTGAGCTGCTCTTCTTCAAAGCCCAGTAACAGGACTAATTTGGGTGGGTTTATCTAAAAGACCATAAAAGGCTGCTTCATGCCAAATGTCAAGACCCTATTTCCAGAGTTACAGTCAAAAAAACATGGCAAGCCCAAGAGTGACCAAGATGATGCTCTTCTACTCTGCTTTCATCTTTGGAAGAGGCAAAGGATTTGGAGCGTTCAGAAAACATCCAGTACAGGCTGCCAAGCCAGAAAGTTGCAGACTAATTCATTCAAGTTTGGCAATTTATAAGGAGCCACAACAGGGATGTACGGTGGGGAGCATCTGGCTACCGTAGCTGTGCTTCCTAGTGGTTTATAACCGGTAATTCAGCGTTTTAGAGCTCACCAGCTTAACGAACGTAAGAGATGATGGCAGATTGTGACTGAAAGACCGTAAGAGATGATGGCAGATTGTGACTGAAAGACTGTCTTTAACCTGCATTTTAATCTTCTGCAGCGATGGTTTAAAACAGTGCAAGCCAACTTCTGTAGGGCCCCCGGGAGCTGGGGAAGATGCACGGTGTACGTCCAGTTATTATTATTTTAATTTAAGAAACCGTTTCTATCCCGACAGCACCGCTGTCGTTGTTTTTAATCCGGGGGAAAACAGCTGGCAACAGGCAGCCCTGAACCACCCAGAGCCCAAAACACTCGTTCGGGCAGCGCGCAGCAGGGTCACCCCGCGGGGAGGCGGGAGGCGGCCGCGCCGCTCCGCACCTCTGCGCGGAAAGTCTGCGAAGTTTTTTTTG